GGCGCAAGCGTTCTCACACCTACACATAAAGATACATACAAATAAACACAGCCCCCCCCCTTCCTTTTCTCTCTGTCTCTCCTTCCCTCGAGAGCGGCGGTGCGCAGTATAATAATGAACCGCACACGAAACTAACAATGCACATCACGAGCAGCTGGCTGCAACTCTCCAGACTTGTCGGCAGCACCACCACCACCACTGCCACCGCGCCTCCGCTCCGCCATGCCGTGCTGTTGCGCAACAAGGTGGCGGCGGGGCCGCAGGTCCTCCCCGCGAAAGGTTCAAACTGACGGAGCGAAAGATAAATACAGAAGGAGGGAGGGCTTTTCTTTATGTTTCTTGTTTGGTAGAGACATGTAAGCATGCATACGTGCGATGCAGACCGGAAACCCGAGTGTGTGTACGTACATGTCGCACACTTGTAAGCGTCGAATTCTCATTTAAACACCTAAACACTGGAAAACAAAGGCACTAAACAACACCTTTCCTTGGGTACTAAAGTCAAGGGCGAAGTTTAGTGCCTTTTCTGGGGCACTAAAGTTTTGTGCCTTCCCAAAGGCTTCAAACTTGTATGGAACTCATATGAAGCTAGCCAGCTAAAGGTCATATTTAGTGCCTTTTAAAGGTAGGGATTAGTGATTCGCACCTTTGTTTTTCCAGTGCTTCATGTGTACAAATAGCAATAATGTGAACACTGAGGTTTACAGTGCAGTAAATAATCTATGCGTTTCGTCCGGCCGTTGCTAACATTTTCCCACAGAATCCTAATCCTTTCAGTTTTTCTTTCGCGCGTTTTGTTTTGAGATTCCGTATTAAATCCTGTCTCGGACGACCCATGTATGTGAGGCTAGCTTCACATATAGACGGTATAAAACCACACCATGAGTGCACTCTTCTTGCAGCACGAGAAAAGAGGAGAGTTGTCTGGCCGGTGCTGTGACTGTTTCCCGCTGTATCGCTCCTCAGGCAGGAGTCACCACCGCAGGCCCCGTCACCCTCCATCCCACAGGCAGCACGGCCGCACGTCGTCGATTGGTTGTTAATGAGACCGTGGACGCCCCCCCCCCCCCTTTCCTCCTCCCTCCCACAGTGGTGCGCACTTGCCAGCCACAATTAAACGGGGGTGCCCTGATTACCATTGATCGCTCCATTTACAACAAAACGACGCCCTTCCTCCCCCTCGCTCCCGGTCTCCACCTCTCTTCCCTTCTTTATCCGTTCCCTTTCATTATTTGCTCCCGAATACCCCTGCTCCTTTTTCCTCAACCACCACAAAAAAATCACCCGCTCTCCCTTTTTTTTTTACAGCGAACGCGCTGTCGATAATATGACCGTTCTGATTCCGATAGATAGGAAGTGACCCAGCGAGAAGCCATTCCATTCTGCGGCAGCGCCAGCTTTATCACTCTGCTTATTGGTGGGATTCTTGTTTCCGTTCCTCTTGAGTCTGTCGACGCTGCATCAGGCTGCTCGTACCCCTGCCCCAACCCCAACCTGACAGTGTATAGGTAACGAGCCTGTTGCTCAGGGATCATCCCGAAAGTACGTCGCACCCAGAAAAAAACCTTTATTGGTTCGAGTAAATTTGTACTCTGTTTTGCACAAGTACAATTTTTCACTTGGACTAATGCAAATTTTTTATTCAAATGAAGAATATACTTATACATAATCTTGTACTTGAACAATTTTCTTATTCAAAGAGGAGTGATCTTATCCCCAAAATAATTTTGCATTGTTTCAAGTGGAAAATTGCTCTTGTGCACACCCGAGTACAAGTGTACTTGAATCAAGAAAGTAATTTTCCGGGTGCGGCCATTTTCCGTTTCGAGCCTGCCTAACTTTAGCTATTGCAAGCTCTCATGTATGATAGCGCCTGGTAGGCAGGCAATATCTTGCCTACAAGTGCATGCGTGTACTGCGGGTTTGCCTACCCAGAGTATCGCAGGCGCCAAGCTCCCTTACTTTGTTAAATTTGTCTCAAAAACGGACGCACTGCCCACGAAAATTCCTGAAGTTATGTGTAGTATCACAAAAGAAATGCGGAGTTCTTTGCTGTACAATACTGAGAGCGATGTTCGTGTTCGTTTCCGTCTCTCCATCCAAGCGAATATCCTTTCAAATTGAGTACGTTACGTATACGCATAGTTCTACGTAAAGCTACGTATGACAGTATATAGCAATTCTGTGTGCGCACACAGTCGCGCTACCTATCCGGGAATGATCTCTGCCCTTCAATAGCTACTAGCTGCAACATTTCCTCGTCCCTTTGACGCTTTCAGTACGGCACTCATTAACCTCACGGTACTGGAGCGTGCCACTGAAAAGTGATCACGCCGCCAACGTGTCAATGGTGTAATGTTTCCACGAAGAAAATACGTACGGCAAAAAGTGAGACTGCACTTTAAAATAAAAGGGAGCACAAATTAAACTCATCCACATATTTCACAACGGCCATTGTTCGCAAATCCCCACCTCGACCGTTACGCAATGGCGCGGCCGCATCGGCTCATCGCACTGCTCTTCTTTTATTTCGATGTGCCAGCATTTATTTTAGTTTATTTTTTTGACACGTCGTAAAAACTAAAGGTTGTGAAAAAGGAAGGACTGAGCAAACGAAGGTTTGGACAAACAGGTACGGGGGCACGGGGGAAGGG